CCCCCCCCCCCCCCCCGTAAGCCCTCGGGGACCCGTAAAACCAGGACGATCTGCACTTGTCCCAGACATGTTTGTACCTAGACAAGCACCGAAAAAGCCTAAGGACGATAACTTTGGGGCATATTCTCAGCGAAAACACGCCGCAGCAGCATAGACACGAAGCACAGGAGGTAGAGTTTGGCACTAACGAAAACTGTCTCGAGTCAACGAGTTCTGCCGCAGAGCGCGTGCACGCTACCAACTATTATACACACCTGCAAAGCTTCAGGCCCGGCGTCTCGCATGACCCCATGGAGTATGTCGATCCCGTGCTCCACAGGGTACCGATTGTGGTAGATTTCCGACGCTAGGTTAGCCAAGAGGTTGTGATAATGCTCTCCCGGGAAGGCCATGAACTTGCCTGATGGAAGAACAAACATGAAGCAGCGGACGCGCTAAAGTAAGATTGCCTCGATGTCAATACTCTACCGTACTGCAACAGAAAACGAAGCTGTACGTACGCATACTCGTGTAGTGGCCACATCCTTGCATGACAACACCGAAAGTGAGCGTATACCGAAAACGCGCTGCTATGTACGATGTCGCCAACCATTCGAGTTCAGAGCGAACCAGTCTGTCGTGGTCGGACGTGCCTTGACAGGAAGAGGATAGTGTCTATTGTACGAAACGCAAGAACGTTTCCGTTTCTCATAGATCCAAAACGAACAAACTACCAAAATCGCGTGAAAGTATCTGCTTTCTCATCGTTTCCAAACAAAGCAAACGACCAAAACCGCACGAAAGTTGCTGTCCCTCATCGACTCCGATTTACGCACCAAAAAAAGAAGGTCACCATACCGTGCAACTCCCACTTGAGGTACTCCATCGCCGCCAGGTCTTCGGGAGTCTCCTGCACCTCCCCGTCCCAAGACATGGGTACGTTGGGTCTGCTCTCCGCCGCCGCCACGAAAGAAGCCGTACCCGTAACGGACGCCGAAGCCGCGGCCGCCGCCGCCGCCGCGCAATTCGAAGACGAAGAGTACATCTGAGAGCTCGGCACGGTAGTCGCGGTAGTCTTCTGCTTCTGCCTAGCCGGCTCCTCCGCCCACGAACCGCTCGCCGCGTTTCTCGCCACTCCCAGAAGCCTCTGCCCGAGCTCGCGCCCCACCGAACCAGCAAGCGGATCGGGGGCGGGGGCGGGGGCAGGGGTGGCCGGACCGGGTCCCGCAAGCGCCTCCGCGAGAAGGCCTCTCGGGACCGGAGGGGCTGACGCGCTCTCTTGGGCGCCAGGCTGCGAGCCGCTAGCAGGGGTCGGCGGACGACGCCTCCCCGGATGGTTGGGATCGGAGGCGGAGGAGGAGGAGGAGGTGCTACCTCCCACCGCCGCCGAGGGTGCCGATGCCGCTGGGGGCACCGCCGAGGGATGCGCGGGTACCCCGTTGCTTTCGTTCGCGTCGCCAGCTCCCCCGCTGGCGGCTCGGCCATTGGGTTGGGTTGTTGCGGCTCCGGCGGCGGCTCCGCCTCCCGGCGGCGCCGCGCCGCTCCCCGACGCCGCCGGTAGCGACGCCGACAAGGGGGTCCGTGGATCCACGTACGCTGCCCGCGCGGCGGTCCCGGGAGGGGCCCGTGCATCCGACGCTCGCGCCGAGCCCCTTCGCCGGGCCTCCGCCGACGCCTCGAAGACTACGCGCTCGTTGAGGGGGTTGCGCTCCCTAGCAAGGAAGGCCTGCTCCAACTTGATGAGCTTCGCGGTGAGGGACTGCTGCTCGAAGTCGGTCAGCCGGCGCGTGGAGTATTTCGGGCAGCCGAGCTCCGGCGACCGCCTCGTGGCCAGGAGTCTCTGGTCCACGCGCTTCACCTCGCACCTGTTGGAGAAAGATTTGCGGGAGAGGGGGGGGGAGCGGAAGGTGCGCAAGGAGCGAGCCATGTGTGTTGCGTTGGCGGATATCAGGCGTGAGGGAGGGTGTGGGCAATGGTGTGTGGGTCGAGCGGCTGCGTGCCCGGCATCCTGGTCGGCGACCGCTCGTTTCACAACGGGAGCATGCACAATAGTCATAGGCAAGGGTTCGGAGCGTCACCGCCTCAGTGTTCCGAATGCTCTCCTTGTCCGCGCTGCGTCGTGCGCCGATTATCTGCCTGTCGCCGTCTTCGTCTCCCCGTACCACAGATGCAGCGCGTGCGATAACAAGGCTTACACCTACTGCCGTTCACGAGGAGGGAAACACTGAGAAAGGGAACAATCTGTTGAGCGCGTATTCTTCTTGAGGCGGGGTCAAGGCCCTGGAGCCGTAGATACACGAGGATGCCAATAGGGTGACGTTCGTTGCACCTCACGGTTACATTTCTCATGGCTCAAAGCGACGTTGAAACTATGAGTGCTTTTAAGACCAAGGCACGCTGCTTGAACCCCCCCTCGCCGGTAGCAAAAGTGTACCACTCGGGGAAGGGTTTTTGTCGTTGTTAGGATACACTACGGTACTTTGTCACACCTCCTGCGGTGCTTGCCTTCCGATTTTTTCCGCGAGGACGAGGGTTCAGCTTTCAGCAGTCCCTTGCCCCTTGGTGTGGGTATGTTCTCACGAATTTATCGTTTTCCACCGCAGAATTGCCAATCGTTCGCTCCCGAGAGAGGTTCGAACCCGCAACCTGCTACAGTAGATGACTACCGTAAAGTGACACTCCCAGGTACGTACGCACCCCCGTTGGAGCCAGTTTTCGAAGCTCGACTGCACCACAACGACGAGACTGCATAAAATGAAATGATGCGCTTTCGGGAAGCTCTGGACGAGGCGGCTCCAACGCCGGCGTTTTCGGCACCTCCCCTCTTTCTGCTATGGAGAAATCGAGTTTTGAATATTCGTCCAAAGGGGTATGACACCCTACATATGCGATACCTGCTGCTGCTGTGCTGGTGCCATAGAAGTCTGTACCACTGGACCACATGCGACGGTGTTTTAAAGAAAGGCGGGCGGGATGTACACAGGAGAAAGGAACGCATCACGATGGGAGTACTGATGCACCCGGTGCAGTACTGATGCTCTGGCGGGTCCCAGCCGCGACAGCGAAGGGTGGAGGCGCGGAAAGTGTGAATCGGATCATGACTTGATCTTCTCAGAGGATCTGGACACGGGTGTATCGTCTGAATATCAACCCGCGCGTCGGACAAGACAGATCTTCGCATCACTGCTACTGCCGTCCGGCAAATTCGCTAGTCCGAACACCATGCGGCGGTAGATCTGCAAGAAGCTTCTCAACCCACCCAAGAAGCTCCGACATGAAGAAGCGGAGGGGCAGGCCGACCTCGATGCCCTCGAGCAATCCCTCGCGAAACAGCTCATAGACGAACTCGAAGTAGGCGTCCTCCGTGTGCGTCCATGGGCCTTGCACCTCGCTCGACCACCGCCCCCTCGCCGATCTCAGCTCCGTCACCCACCGTATATGCTGGCTCGTGATCCCTGAGCCTTTCGACAGCCCGTTCCGCGTCGACTGCTGTGCTGCGCTGTGATCCGGCGCGGGCGGCGCTGCCGCAGGTAGCAGCCTCGGTAGGGTTGGATCCATGACAATCTCTCTCGCTCTATTGGGTGCTTCTTCCGCTGCAGGATCGTCGCCTGACCGCAGCGGTGGCGGACCGAAATCTTCGCCACCAAGATGAGGGCTTCAGGCTGTGGTTGCCTGGAGCGTGCTGGGCCCCGTGCTCTTGTTGTTGCCTGGCCGTTGGTGCTCCTCCTGCGGTACGAAGGACGCAAGGTGCGATGATAGTCGTAGACTGCTGTTGTTGTAGTACTGCTGTAGTGGGACGCTGGAGGTATTGTTTGTAGCTGCTTAGTTGCTGCGTCAACCTGCCCAGGGCACGCTGAACCAGCGGAATTATTGATCCAGTAACACACTAAGGGAGCGTCCAAGCGATCTGAGATACCAGGGCACGCCGACAGCAGCAGCGTATCGCAGAAGATGTGCCCCAAGCTCGCCACAAACACTTCGGGGGAGGGGGGCAGGGGACGGGAGGGAGGCGGGGGGGGGGGGGGGGGCACGCAACTGGGATATATATATTTGATTTAGCCGCTGTGTCGCATGTTTGGGGGTTTGGCGGGGGACTGTGGGGCTGTGAGGCTGGTTTAGGGAGCAGTGCAATGTGTCAGTCAGCTCTGAGCTGCATGCGTGTTCTTCTTGCCTGCGCGCGCGACGACACTATGCGCCAGAGTCTGTCAGCGTGAAGACGGCCATCGATCATCGAGACCAACCCTCTTTTGTCGTCGACCAACAAATTCACTGCATCAATCAGCAGTTGTAGCAAGAAACGGACGGTCACGGCATGCGCTTGGGTTCCATCCTCAACAGCAGCAGCGGTAAACGATCGAGGAAAAATGCCTGAATATTGATCGAAAGTATACATCTCACAGATAGATCACCCGTTCGAGATAATACCACAGTCGAAAGGGATGTGTTGAAGTCTTTTTACAGCAGTGAGGCCCATGTTCATGGTTGCCCAAACCATGATCTTCCCTTCTTTGGACAAATGTTAACTTTTTCGACCTTTTGGGCAGTCTGCCTCCCGAACGAATGCGAATCAGCTGTTCGACCTTTGAGAACAGCCACAGCTTTGGCTGAGATGAATACAGATCGCCAAAATGTTTCGCCAGGGCCCACGTTTGATTGTTTCAAGATGCGCAGTTTTCACGCAAGATTTTTGCAACACCAGATTTTGGACAGATCTTGGCCCCAAGATTTGCTCCGAGGTGGCCTTTCGGCCGAATCTTGCACATCTTGCTCTGCTGGAAACAAATCAAACGTGGACCCTGGCGGAACAAATAGGCGGTCTGTATACATCTCAGGCAAAGCTGTGACTATTCTCGAAGGTCGAACAGCTGATTCGCACTCGTTCGGGAGGCAGACTGCCCAAAAGGTCGAAAAATTCAACATTTGTCCAAAAAGGACGATCAAGATTTGGAAACCATGAACATGGGCCTGAGTGGGAAGAAAACCGGATGGATTGGGCAATTAGGGTTCATACACGTCAGTTTTTGTCAGTGATGCCAGTAGGTGCCGATGACAAAATCACGTTGATAGGTACAGTATCAAAGGACATGTCCCCCGAAGTCTTCCTCTATCTTGCGGTCGACGACAAAAACCGTACAGCTTCACGGCTAATCCAAGCAACAGAGTCTCGCGTCTGGTGCGTGGATTCGTATAATCGGCAGCTCTGCGCATTCTCTTGTCTCTCCACGACACCGTCCACGGATGTGGGACGAACCCACTTGCTCCTCGACCGAGTGGTAGACTGGCATAATTGGGAAAGAAGAGCATTCGCACCCTCCCCTTCCAATTGCACCTTTCCGTGTGTTTCCAACGTGCTTTGTTCGTGAAATTCGACCCAGCAACTCCGGCTACAATTTCGCCACCATGACTTCATACCAAACTCCGTGCTCGCTAGAGGGCGCAGACACAGATGGTCTCTGCAGTGAAGTTGTCTTAGCCTGGGGATGCAAAATTTGCAAATGGAGGTGCTAGACTCCCAAACTAGCTGTACATGTTCGGCGAATGGCGTAGTATGTAGGTGAGACCCAGTCAAATCTCCAATGTTCACAAAAAAAAAACTGGTATCCTCCATACATGACCCCTCTGCCATGCAATTTTCAGGGTTCGCTTCCGCGTACATGGTCATCAGAGGTCCTCTCGCGAAATCCCGCCCACCCTCTGTACGGATTGAAAAAATGCCAATCGGCCGTCGACAAAATACACATCTGAGCGGAAACACAAAAAAGAAACGCTGCCACCTGCCTGGAAGTGACAGAACATAACAGAGTGCTCAATCCGTGCTTCGGGTTGCTATGCGGCAGGATCCCATTGCGCGGCACTATGAGAGTAACACGCGCGGGGGGGCTTATTGTGGTACACCGCCGACAGGTGCCCTACCTGCCTGTCGACGCCTCTCCTCAGAAACACCCTCAAGATCAAAACTAAACGCGGCTAGGCTTTCCTACGTTTCCAAACGGCGACGATGACTCCCGCAGTGGCAGCTGTGGCCGCGGCCAGCGCCACCACCGTCTTCGAGTAAACCACCCCATCTCGCCTGCAGCCCCAACGGCCCCCTAGCCTCCATCCCCTCGACCAGTGCTCCTCGGCAGGCCGTCCAAGCGCCCCCGCCACACGCTCGTTGTCAGCAGGCAGTCCGCGCGCCACCCCCTCAAGTTCTTCATCGGGCAGTCCAAGCGCTCCCGCCTCACGCTCCTCCTCAGCAGGCATTCCAAGCACCCCCCACTCACGTTCCTCCTCAACAGGCAATACGAGCGCCCCCCGCCCACGATCGTCCTCAGCAGGCGGTCGAAGCGCCTCCTCCTCACGCTCTTCCTCGACAGGCAATACAAGCGCCCCCCCGTCGTCAACAGGCGGCCCAAGCGCCCCCGGCCCACGACCGTCCTCACCAGGCAGCCCAAGCCTAGCCCTCACCACCCGGACAAGCTCGGCGGCCTCCGGGGTATCGCCGTTCCCGAGCACCGGCGACAGGGGAACCGCCACCCGCCGAAGGCCGTCCACCGTCGTCGGCATCGCCAGGGCCACCTCGATCAAGGTGTCCCCGGGGCAGACGTACGCCACCCCGTCGTCCAGCCTGCGGGCGGTCCTGTCCCTCCAGAGAAAGATGTCCTCGTACACCCGCACGTTGATCTCGGACCAGCGGGGCGGCTTCAGCCGCTGCTCCGCCGTGCGGAAGTGCCTCTCGCTGTGGGCGTCCTCGCGCTTCGCCTCCCGAGAGGGGCGCCACAGCACGGCCGTCGCGACGTGGGCCCTCGATAACGACTTCCACATGAGCAGGATTCCGTCCGTCAGGACTACCACAGCAGGGTCCGGCTCTGCAGCGGGCTGGCCGTCCTCAGGGACAACCGTATTGGTTGCGTCGTACGCCGCCGCTCCGGCTTCCGGTGGTGGAGAGTTCAAGTCGCCAGCGAGCGAGGAGTCTACTGGACCTGTTGCTTGCGACGTGCTGGTGGGACTTGCTGCTGCAGCAGCAGCAGCAGCAGCAGCATCAACTTCTTCTTCCCTTTTGGCCGTGAAGCTTTGACTCATCTCGTCCTTCGGGGTGTGGCCACCGGTAGCCGTCGCCGCGGTTAAAGTCGTCGCGTCTTCGACGCCCTCGGTCACGCCCCAACTCTCACCCCAACCTGAAGGGGAAAAAGAAATGTGTCGGAATGGTTCGAGCGAATGAATCCAACTTGCTTGTACACAGAACCCACCACGACGCACATGCGAGAGCATGATACTTGAGAGTTAAGATGGTCAAAGCATGGTAAGAGCTTGGACCCCATCCCACACAATGACCTGCTGGTTTACATTCTCTGCTACGTTCCCCGCAGTGGGACATGAGCCGCAGGGTTCGCCCAAGACAAAAAATAAATTAAGTGGTGGCGCCTTCTGTACCCCTCACCCGACGACCGTGGTCCAATCAATCGCAGGACGAAACACACCCACGCTACGAGCCCCTTTCCGCAAAGGAAGCAAGCACCCCCTAAGACGGTCCCACTCGCTTACCTTCCCAAAGATCCTCATCCTCGTCATCCTCCTCGCTGGCCGCCACGTCCCCCCCACCCCCATCCCCGTCGAGATCCCCGAAACTGCGCGCCTCGCCGTTGGCCAATCCGATTGCTCCATCTCCTTCGACCTCGCAGCCGTAATCTCCTTCATCTTCGAGGAATGCCGCCGCGACGGCGGAGTCCAAGCCGGCGCCGAACGCGCTGTTCCGGGCGCCCTCGTGGATGCTCTCCAGGTCGGGCCGAAAGAAGGAGCCGCTGCGGCTGCGCTCGCGCCTGTGGCAATCCTCAGGGTCGTCCCACTCCGACACCCACGGCTCCCACGCCAACTGGGTGGCGGCGGCGGGGGAGCAGGCGCCCGACCTCACCGGCGATCTTGCGGGCAAATTCCCGTCAACAACTGCTGCTGTTGAAGATCCGGACCGTAAGTGATCACTGGCGAGCCCAGCGGCGGCGGCGGCGCCATTCATCGCGACAACTCCCGAACCAGCACCCCCCGTGGGGGGGGGGGGG